TAGCCAACCTATGGGTTTGTGATCGGTCTCGATATGAGGTCTTTGCCCAAACAGGTATGGCCCCAACTAATCCATGACCCAAGACAGTTACTTTACATAATTGCTCAATCGTTAAATGTCTCTGCTCGGCGTTGATCGGTAGACAACTGGCATATTCGGTAACTCGGTTCCTCTGCTTTGGGACTGCGTCGATACGGCGATAACTGGCGTCCGCTGCAACCGTGAACATCTGTGCGACGCCTGGCGGTTTGTGGGTCAACTGCTGTTCCAGTATCGGCGGTTTGATAAGGTCAAGAGCCTCATGTGCTTCTAACACCCGATTCCGCCCGAGCAAGTCCTACAGTGGCGCAGCAACCGTGTTGAAATGCTTGCAAGCCGGCGGTAGTATTCTGCTCACTCAGGTACCCGTGGTAGAGGCCGCTCGGAATTGAGAATATCACAGTTCTTGGTGTTTGCTAGCTTGTCTGGCAGTGAATCAACCGCTCGTGACTAACTTACTTCCCAACAGTGTCAACGAACTCCGAGTTGTCGTTGAATGAACGGACCGTACATCGGGTTGCAGCTTTCCCTCTGGTTGTTCACATTCTGGATTCGTCCTAGCACTCCAGGTGTTTCACGGTGTTGGGCTTACGTTCCAAATTCTGACAACTATCTGTCAAGGCGGAGGACCGGGAGAATAGGGCGCTCACTTTTGCGAACGTTCTATGACAATTTACACGCATGTCTTTTTGTTCGTCTGGGTCACACGCAATATCCGAAGCCTAGATGAGCCATGTTAACCACTTTTCCCACTTTAGATCAACCACGGATACTGCAATAATCTAATCCCTTATTACATGCAAGTGATTGAGTGCGCGGAAATTAATTCTCGTCGGGGACATGTTGAAAATATGGAGGTCAATATTGGAGTTCAGTCTGTTTAGATCAACCACGGATACTGCGCTTTTGACACAGTGTGCAGTCATCTAATCCCTTATTACATGCAGGTGATCGAGTGCGAGGATATTATATCTTGCCCTCACACGCGAGCGAATTGTTTCATCTGCGCACGACGAGACATACTCAACATGTCTGTAAGTCCAAAAAGGTGTGCCACTTAACTTCTGATCAAAATACTGACGTCATCTGCCATTCATCTTTTGTGTGATTACACCGTGGAATTGATGACAACCCAATGCAATAGAGGAAAGTTCCTGCGCCTAAACGAGGATGATGCTACATGTTTCAAGGGTAGCGATTTACGACCAGATATACGTATAGGCATATTTCAAGAAATGCCAAACGTATGGTCACCATTCTTGATCTGTAGGATGTTTCTTTTGTTGGAGATCAGTCTGTTGAAGGCACTCATGCTGTATCAAATACTAACGAGTGCTTCGTAGCTTATCTTATGGTGTCCGAACAAAGCGTTATATTTGAAGAACACACCACCTGTGATCAACTTCCATTTTCCATTGCCCGAAACCACTGAACTATTAACATCCACACACTCATTCAAGGCGTGGGGGTGTGATGAACATGATTTACGCTCTATTCACTGCTCTATTTACTTTTCTATTGTTTCAATACTCAAGGTCATGTATATATATATCGCCAATTCGAATACATTCGTATTACTTGTTACGCTGTGCTGTATTCTGGATTTCTAGTTCCTCTGGTTATACCGATATAGGTGCGGAACTTATATGTCACACCGTCTCCCCAGATGACATCAGAACAAATTCGCATTACTTGTCTAAGTGCCCCGGCTGAGCCTTGAAGCCAGTACCAGACTTCTTTGCACTCAAGTTCTAACGCTTCTCAAGTCCACCCCGGAAATCGGTCTATCCATTGTGCTGATTTCCGCGCTATACTACTCATCCTACTGCGTACCCAAAACGCCCACTCTGGAGTAATTGGATAATGATTTTGGACAAGATACATCTGTCTTAAAGTCGGCCCGTCCCGTCCCACGCACATGAACATCGACCGGTTGATGAATCCGATACAACAACATCAGGCTTACAATGTGGTAGCAGAACAACTGCCAAATAGACAATTCCGAAACACTGGTAACCAGTCTGATTGTTTGAGAACCTAAGGCCTTCCCGTTGTTTTCAAAAAACGTATTATCCGTCTTCTGCTTGAACGCGTCTTCTCGAACTTCTCTGGATATACACTGATTATCAGGCAACTGTGAAAAAGGGTGAATAATACCCGCCATAGCCCAATTTTCTAATCAACCAGAAGACAGCGCTGCTAACCGTGCATCATCATGAAGAGAGACTTGCCTTTGGTAGGCTGTGCGGAAGCACGATGACCTAGCTACACCATTGGCACCGGTCGCCTCGTTCGGCCGCCTGCAACTCCCTGATCGGCGACTGCCTCCACATAATGGGCCCTAAGAAGGGGAAACCGGTCGTTGTCTGTCGACGAATTTTCAGCAACCTTATGACTAGCGCACCACAAATATACATGTACCGCCATATCTCGAATATCGTAGCGACTGAACCATGCGGCGGCCTGGTGTAGCAAATTCAGTTGCTTGGAAATATCGCAAACGTGAGATTCATCTGGGTTCTGGGTGTGTCTCTGAAAATGCCAACTTAGTTTGCAAATGAGTGAATATTCGTCAACTCTTGGGTTGTTCGTTCTCGAAGCAAGGACGTCTGCAGAATTAAGCCGTATATTTTTATGTATGTCCCATCTCGTGGCGCTTGACCATAAGCTTCCGTCTCAAGACGGACAAGACAGCACCACAATCGGTGGATTTCCAGCAAATTATGCCAGATTCACTCATACCCAACCGATCGGAGTGACTCTGGGACGTTTTCAATTTCTTGTTTCTTTCAGTTCTTAATTTCCATTTCCATTTAACGAAGCGACGGTAAGCTTCCGTAGCCAACCTATGGGTTTGTGATCGGTCTCGATATGAGGTCTTTGCCCAAACAGGTATGGCCCCAACTAATCCATGACCCAAGACAGTTACTTTACATAATTGCTCAATCGTTAAATGTCTCTGCTCGGCGTTGATCGGTAGACAACTGGCATATTCGGTAACTCGGTTCCTCTGCTTTGGGACTGCGTCGATACGGCGATAACTGGCGTCCGCTGCAACCGTGAACATCTGTGCGACGCCTGGCGGTTTGTGGGTCAACTGCTGTTCCAGTATCGGCGGTTTGATAAGGTCAAGAGCCTCATGTGCTTCTAACACCCGATTCCGCCCGAGCAAGTCCTACAGTGGCGCAGCAACCGTGTTGAAATGCTTGCAAGCCGGCGGTAGTATTCTGCTCACTCAGGTACCCGTGGTAGAGGCCGCTCGGAATTGAGAATATCACAGTTCTTGGTGTTTGCTAGCTTGTCTGGCAGTGAATCAACCGCTCGTGACTAACTTACTTCCCAACAGTGTCAACGAACTCCGAGTTGTCGTTGAATGAACGGACCGTACATCGGGTTGCAGCTTTCCCTCTGGTTGTTCACATTCTGGATTCGTCCTAGCACTCCAGGTGTTTCACGGTGTTGGGCTTACGTTCCAAATTCTGACAACTATCTGTCAAGGCGGAGGACCGGGAGAATAGGGCGCTCACTTTTGCGAACGTTCTATGACAATTTACACGCATGTCTTTTTGTTCGTCTGGGTCACACGCAATATCCGAAGCCTAGATGAGCCATGTTAACCACTTTTCCCACTTTAGATCAACCACGGATACTGCAATAATCTAATCCCTTATTACATGCAAGTGATTGAGTGCGCGGAAATTAATTCTCGTCGGGGACATGTTGAAAATATGGAGGTCAATATTGGAGTTCAGTCTGTTTAAGGCACTCATGCTGTATCAAATACTAACGAGTGCTTCGTAGCTTATCTTATGGTGTCCGAACAAAGCGTTATATTTGAAGAACACACCACCTGTGATCAACTTCCATTTTCCATTGCCCGAAACCACTGAACTATTAACATCCACACACTCATTCAAGGCGTGGGGGTGTGATGAACATGATTTACGCTCTATTCACTGCTCTATTTACTTTTCTATTGTTTCAATACTCAAGGTCATGTATATATATATCGCCAATTCGAATACATTCGTATTACTTGTTACGCTGTGCTGTATTCTGGATTTCTAGTTCCTCTGGTTATACCGATATAGGTGCGGAACTTATATGTCACACCGTCTCCCCAGATGACATCAGAACAAATTCGCATTACTTGTCTAAGTGCCCCGGCTGAGCCTTGAAGCCAGTACCAGACTTCTTTGCACTCAAGTTCTAACGCTTCTCAAGTCCACCCCGGAAATCGGTCTATCCATTGTGCTGATTTCCGCGCTATACTACTCATCCTACTGCGTACCCAAAACGCCCACTCTGGAGTAATTGGATAATGATTTTGGACAAGATACATCTGTCTTAAAGTCGGCCCGTCCCGTCCCACGCACATGAACATCGACCGGTTGATGAATCCGATACAACAACATCAGGCTTACAATGTGGTAGCAGAACAACTGCCAAATAGACAATTCCGAAACACTGGTAACCAGTCTGATTGTTTGAGAACCTAAGGCCTTCCCGAGGACCTCATCTAAATATCCGATGAAGTTTCAAAGGACTGTGAATGAACATATTCAAAGTCGATGTGGCTAAGTTTGATGATGCGCCTCTAGCACGGTTTGAGTGACCACGAGAAACACTGAAAGGCATTGTTTCGGTTTGAGTGACCACGAGAAACACTGAAAATGGGGCATTGTTTCCGTCGACAGATAACACAAAACTGCTCCAACTGTGTCGGCCAACCGGCCTATTCTCGTTCATCCTAACGTGCACTGGTGCGTCAGACATGTGGAGGCGTCTTGATGAGTCCACAAGTCCTGAGAATCCCGACGGTTTTACCTAAATGCTTTCGGTTTTTACCGAATGCTTGATGGAAAAACACAACTCACGCTTCGTGACGATGGCAAAACACGATATGGACCAGCTGGAATACGGTTTATTTTGGCAAAATCACAGAACACGATGTGTGCCCGTTAGGAACAGACGTTGCGGACAGACTCGATGAGCATTTCGGGATTGTACCCGGCTTTGCACAAATCCATTAGATGAGTTGTGTGCTTGGCTACCTCTGGGACCTGAAGACAGAAACATAACAGAATCTCAGCGGGGATGTCAGTCCAAGGATGCAAATGAAATAGTCAGGACGAGTACTACGGGACCAGGACTAGGCACGTCCCACACAGGTTTGCACCAATCCCTAACAATGCNCACCAATCCCTGACAATGCTTCCAATGAAGCAGGAATATTTGTTTACACAAGGTTCACCCAAACTAACACCGACAGAGATCAGCATTCTCAAGACAATGTACCAACCATGATGCTAAAGATTGGGGAAGATTGTGAGTGAGGCACACTGAAGGTCGCGCGGATACTGGGCCCGATATTAGAAAAAAGTTACTTATAAGAGGTGCTGGCGAGTATCCGCACATCTAAATTTCGACTAAGGGAATCGTACTGAAGTGAACTGCTTCATTGCTAGCGGAGAACATGCGAATTTTCTCGAATACGTGGCAGATGAATGAAACTGTGAGAACTCTACGAAACAAAATACCTCTCCCGTTTCGGGGCTCATCAAGTAGACGCATTTTGAACTGGACAGATTTTGACGGATGCTCCATTTTTACATACAAATTTGGTTTCGACAGGGGACAAACGTGTAACCCCAAAGATAGTTCGCTTCAACCAAGTGATCATCCGGAACACATGGCTGATGGGATCTAAGGATGGACGCCTACATGATGAACCCCAATGAAAGAATAGAATTCTGGTCACAAAAGCTATCGAACATGAATGTGGGAAATGTAGGAAAACAGATCGAGACGGTTTTAGGAATTTTAGAATCACTCAGGCAACATGATTTGTTGATAATCCACCAAAGTTATATGAGTTAATCGTCCGTACAGGGAAGTATCTGGGTTCAATTATAATTCTGATCAATTCTAAACAGTGACAGTATTGCAGAACTCCTCCTCTAAGTAAGCGGTGTTGAAGAGCAGAATACCGGTAGTCCAGAGGGTCGAACCACATTAAGTCCCACGGCGCCGCAGCTGGACATCCGTTGAATTTTCAAGCGAACTACTTGCAGGTAGAACTGAATGAGTTTTGTAAAAAAGGTCTCGTTGATTAAAAAAGCGGAATTTGTACCACCGTGCACGGAATCCCCAGAGGTTATCAAAACATTGCAACCGCGATACACACTGAAAGTAAACCGGAGATATTCATATGAACTGACCCGAGAGCATTAGTCATGGGTATAATCTTGGGCTCGTCTTTCTATAGTTTAGTTTTACCGATTGTTCCGGCTTTCTCCACAGCGGCCATCCATTTGTTCGGTAAATTTTCCGCGAAATTGTGCGCTTTAGACTAACAAAACTAACGAGTTCAGGCAGATTGGCTGGCCAGTAATTATTGCATCACGAGATCAACTTGCCTGCTGGATTGTGAAGCAGTGCGCCCGAAATTGATCGAATACTGCCTTGAAACACATGAGCTCATCCCTCTTGGATAAACCCTTTATCGTTGGCTTATGGTGGGTTGTCACATCCACGTCGATGTCGCGAAACATTTCCCCTACGATGTGGTCAAGCTGACAGATGCGAAGAGAATAATTGTGGAAGATTATAGATACACCAAAAAGATTTCTCGCACATCTAAACGAATCACGTTAGATTTATGGGTGGCGTCAAGGAACGACCAATAAAATATTGGACTGATGACTTTTACCTGCTCCTATGTATCCTCCATAACCATTCTTTACCACACAAAGAGACTCTTACCTAAAATGCTATCTATCTATCTATCTATCTATCTATCTATCTATCTATCTATCTATCTATCTATCTATCTATCTATCTATCTATCTATCTATCTATCTATCTATCTATCTATCTATCTATCTATCTATCTATCTATCTATCTATCTATCTATCTATCTATCTATCTATCTATCTATCTATCTATCTATCTATCTATCTATCTATCTATCTATCTATCTATCTATCTATCTATCTATCTATCTATCTATCTATCTATCTATCTATCTATCTATCTATCTATCTATCTATCTATCTATCTATCTATCTATCTATCTATCTATCTATCTATCTATCTATCTATCTATCTATCTATCTATCTATCTATCTATCTATCTATCTATCTATCTATCTATCTATCTATCTATCTATCTATCTATCTATCTATCTATCTATCTATCTATCTATCTATCTATCTATCTATCTATCTATCTATCTATCTATCTATCTATCTATCTATCTATCTATTAATTTAATTATCCAATGCGTATGTGATAACTGTCCCATATGCATTTCAAATTACCGAAAATTGCGCTTAGCACGTACTACCAAATTTCCGTTATTGCGATGCTTCAGTAGATCATAATGACCTTGGAACTTTCCAACTGGGAGACTTTCCATCCTCTGAAACGTACAATAAACAGACAGTTATCGGTCGAGTTTCAACCAAGGGAGGGTGTTTTTCTTACAATCAAGATGCGGCACATCATGAGACCGTAGTTTCCCACCTTATTACTCACGTGCTAGTGTCAAAATATCCTGTAGATCAATAAACATCAGTTCCGAATACGTCCCAGAAATATCAGTGTCCACAGTCATTGATATTCACCGAATCCCTAGTATTATCTTTTGCGATTGCTCGTTCAAATCCAAGGTAGCCAACTACTAACCGGCAACCATGCGGTCAGTCACGAGTGACTGATCAGCCGTGTGATTGACTTTCACTTGGACAGCACACAGCTTCACTTATCGATCAGTCACGGAAATCCACATCACGTGGCCACTTATTTACTGGATCGTCGAGTGTCAACATTTCAGATGAAAGTTCCAGTCATCGTGTAAAACTATTCTTCCTTTGAGCTACTTGTAATTTATTAATATAGAATCGACTTCCTTATACTGTAGCAGACAAACGTATGAAACATTAGACAACCAAAGCTATTGCTTGGTTATTCTAAAGGTGACATTGGCTAGGCTTCGGTATCTAGATGCCTGGACTAGCAACTTTGCCGAACTTCGTCTATGGAACCTAAAGTTCCTAATCACGTATTTTTACCCGTGACCGCCGCCTTTCACAGATAACGATATACAACTCTCATCTCGATAAATACACTGATTTTTATGACAGTTTCACTTTTCACAAGTGACCCAAATGAATATCTCCGTGGAGTTTTATTACTCACCATGTCACCGTATTTCATCACGTGACTTAACAACGTCCTCCTTTTCACCGCCGTGTACTGTTCCTTCAGTGTACGCTTTTTGATGTCATTCTGCGCGCGGGTGAAGAATAATGACAAAGGGGAGCGATGTGAATCAGACAGAACAGCTTACGCAACTTTGGGGGGATCCAGTGTGGGCAAAAGCGTGAAACCACCACTAGAGTTGAGACAACCAAGGTATGGAACGACACGTACCACTGGTAATTTAGTGATCCCTCTGCTGTTCCTGAACACCATACATGCACATACAACATATCTTCTGATCCCCATCATCGTCATCATCATCGGAATCATTATCACCTTCATCCGAATCATCATCGTCATCATCATCATCATCATCATCATCATCATCATCGTCATCATCGTCATCTACATCGAGAGCAACAACAGAGGAAAACAATGATGATTCACTGCCGTACAAGCACTAAAATTATTTGAAGTGGAAAATCAATGGATTGTTGAACGGGAGGGGAAATTGGGGCTAGCCTGGGGCATACACTTGTGCTTCCCCACACATACAAGATCCAGTCAGACAATCTGGATACAAACTGACAGCATGAACGCCACTGCAATATTGGTTCATTTCGACAGATATATTGAGGCGAAGACGTTTAGGAGAGCCACTAGCATCATCATCATCATCATCATCGTTATCATCCTCAGCATCGTAATCACCATCATCAACGTCATCACTGTCAACATCCGTGTTCAACACTGACGCCACCCTGCGTGCATTCAAAATCCATATTAAGCCATATTCGCAAGAGAAGAATCAAAACGGACGAGGAATGGACTTGGTGCTGGCCTACCACAATCATTCCGATGAGCCTACAGCTCCAGTCAATTACCTAGGCGATCTAACCCAAAAATGATAACGAGAACTACAATAACATCGATTCAAGGACATGATTCGCGGCTTCTTTTCAACCAGTAACGGTGGAAATCGGACGTTCTCTATCATAGAGGGCGAATTTTACTGATAGCACCCAGACTTATGTTTGTCACATTCATATCCCTCCGCAAGATCAGAGGCGAACCTGGTTGGGAGGATAGTGAGAAATTTCGGTACATACATAAACGGTTTGAACATTTTGGGGCCACCGGTCGGCCATGGCTACTGAATTGCGATAATTCCTCTTCATGATTGAAAACAAAAATAAAGGGTTCGAAGAATCAACTGGACTACCACTGGCTGCTGAATATTTCCGGACAACCCATCCACAACTGACAGGCATGTCTGCGACACTTTTGCTAAATCTTACCCGTTCCGAATCTGCAATCCATTCATACGAGAATTCGTTCGCCAGACAAACATCGATTTTCGAGTCCACACAAAAAGCAGCGCAGGAATCTTCAACTTCAGTGGCTGAGGTAATCACGTAGACTGCAGGTTTAGGGGTTCAGACAACAGAATATATAGGATGCGTCAATTTTAAGGCTGTGTTGGATGGTGGGGTAAATTATCGACGAACGGATCCTGTGACTCACAGAAATAATGATGATGCAAGACGTCTAGAACTAACACACTACTCAGAAGGTCGCTGACATTTCATTGACAGAACAGAATGATTTTCGTGCTCATTGCGGCGAATCAGGTAGGCGCAATCCTTGACATTTCGTAAAACTTAATCTAGACTTGAACCCAGACTCGGTGGAAGTTGCTAAACACTCTCATAAATGAGACAATTTTTCTGGGATTCTTTGGCTCAGCCCGTCAAAATCAAACAAGTGTGTGAATTTATAATCATTATTTTACGGTAAACTCTCCCGCCCAAAAAGACCACTGTCGTGAACGGTCAAAGGTAGTCTCGCCACAATCATTGGACCTGTTGGTTGATGGGTTGAAGTGTAATTTTTATAAAAGACCCACAATCCATTTATAACTTACAATGAAGTTACCTACTTGGCATTGGTGGTTGCTGCATAGGGCACCAAAATATCACAATGATTTTCTCCACCCATATGAAACTAGTTCAGCAACGAAAGCCATGGAGGCTATCATCGGCTAAACGCTTCTGGAGTAGAGTCATGGGTAATTTCCACACAAAGATCGCGAAGTGAACAAGCATAATCCAAGATTGGAAATTCGTTCTGTATAATCCGTCAACGCCGTTCACAAACCATATATGTGATTGACATTCTGAATGCTATTTCAAAAGATTCATGCAAGAATCAGCTAGAAATATATCCCACTCACTTCCCATATTTGAAGGAAGAACATCCTTAAACATAGAGCCAGATTTGCAAGCCTCCGTGTACAGCACCAATTTGTTGAACTTTTTCTTTGAATGCATGTAGGCGAGGGTATCGTTCAACTCCATGGCATGCAGCTGTCGCAAAATAAGAAGAAAATTTCTCGTGAGCTCGCGATGAGTCACTGAATGAGTCAGTCACCAGTGATGTGGATTCCTTGGTTGAAGATTGAGCCACGTTAGGTCCCGAGTTAGTGCGGGTAAATTAGGCTGTTGGTTGGTCGCTCGTGGCCGAACGGTTACACCTTGCATCTATCAAGCGCACGACTGATTATTCCACATAAGAATGGAATAGTTGTACATTGCCTCTCGGCTTCCCATCACAGACTGGTTTCTCATACATAAACACAAAACTTAGTACTATTAAACATGCGTGCTGTCGCTCCATAGGCGAGAAGCAGTATGTTGTCTTGTCAGGAAGAATTCGGCTGACGCGTTCTTCGGATCATCCACGCCCAACTAGTGACCGTATACGATCAGCTTCTTCGTTTACGATATCTACGTCTGGTCAGCAGTCTGAATTGATCGAACGCAAAATCATGTGGGTCGAACGACCTTAAACTTCGTAAAACAAAACCTATATGAGGGTGTCATTTAAAGCACCTTGACGAGACCTAACAAATTGGAATGCCTCGGAATGCACGCATTAACAATGGTGTCCAGCGTGTTAAATAAGTCAATCTTCAGATGGACGTAAGAAAACCGTAGCTTGTGTTCAATTTTTCGGTTGAGATGTCGAACAGCTCAACTATGAACTTCTTTTTAGAAATATCTGCCAATGTCATTGCACCAACATGTTTACGTAAGCCGCTTCAATCCGTCCACTATTTAGCGTCCGATTACATAACAGCACGCTAAAACCGTGGTTACCAAAATTAACTGAACTTACATATTCTCCCATGAAGGCAATAAGGGAAGTCGAACCATGGCCAGAGAAGAAGATGAACACGTTGTCATCGGGACCGCTGTTAGTAGGAAGAAAGGTTGAGGTGGTCTTGAAGAGGAGCTCATTGGGTGGCGCTGTCGCGCATAGAAAAGCACAACAAAAACCAGCGGCAATTAGAAGCATAGCGAACACGTAGTTCGGAATATTGTTTTGTACACGCTGCTGGATATACTTATTATTTAAATTAACTTCCACTTGTCTGTTACTTGTATGGCCCCATAAATACGGGAATGGAACGTCGATTCTTCACACGTCTGTTGGTTAATACTTGTATCACGGGATGAAGTAGCACTTATGGTTTTGAATGCATGAAAGTCGTTGGAAGCAGTTTTCCACTTAAGCTAGTCTGATCATTTTGTCGTTGGAACAGTCACATCCAGCTCTTTCAGAATCACGCTTTTGTTAGCATGACTACATCTGTTACATAAAATATCTACATAATGCATACACTAATGAGGGAAAATATTATAACCAAGATGAGGCGAACCTTCCGCAGAAACTCACCTTTTCAGCACCTTCTTCTCGTTGGCTTCAAGTGTCTTATCGCCTCTCAGCACTTTCACGAAATTATCCCGTGTGACATCCTAAAACGGATGAAAATGCATGACCAATTATTCCTGTGACAATGGTGTTCCTGACACCCACTCTCTTCCCAGTGACCATCAACTTTCACCCTAAGAAATAACTGAACTCTAGGATCTGGTCGCCATCTTCGTTTCTTTTATTTCCGCGATGGTCGCTGTATGCTGAAAATTGAAGAATTCAATTGTTGGTCGGTTTGCCAAGCATGGCATTGCTCCTCGGGCCTAGTGTTAGTATTTCAGTTGATCATGGACTACGAGGAAGCCCTATCAAGTAGCCCTCATCTCTACCTCAGTGGCTAAGGAATGCAACATACACATACGTGAGAAATAGCCGCTATGTTAAGTGAGTATCATCCATCAGCAGTCAACAGAATCACGGTGGAGCATCTCTTATTTATGATAGTCTTTGGCTGAATGTACTGGCCCGGGATATCACAGGATATTTCCTCGGAGAAAGCCAGTCGGGCACTGTTGATCCTCGTGTACTTTTCATGGTTCTTTTGATAACAACGCTAGCCTACCGGAGAATCCGAAAGCAGAAAGTTGAACTCGGTCATGCGCTGCCCCAGCGTTCTCTATTACCTTATGGCTAGTGTTCGTTCAAGTGGATTGACCATTCTTTAATATAGTAAAACTGATTAATCTGCCCTGTGGTTTTATTCTGTTTTGATCCGCAGTCTCATTTTAATTGCGTCTTGTGTTACACGGTGAACTGATGCGGGAATTTACTTGATTGCTTCGCACCGGAACACGGGCTTACTTTTCCACGGTAGTCAATTACCACATCCCTGTAGACATCTAGGTGATTGTAGTCATTGAACACTTGGCCTTTAAACGGATTTCTGGAATTAAAGAATGAAAACTGGCAGTGGGTCTTTTGAGAGAACTTAACATGTAGGTCGGAAAAGAAGAAATGTAAGGTTCATAAATGCTGCTGAAATTTGGTTCCCGTGCTTCTTTTCGAATACATTTTCCCGAAAATGCGTGCAACCTCTGTCACACTTTCGATTGGGTGTGACTAATAATTCTTTAAGCAGAAATAATTTAGGTAACCTCCAATGATCCCCGTAGAGTGCACGACAGAGAAAATTACAAATTTGTTATGAAAATGTAATCCGTTTCGGTAACTTCACATTCAGAGATTTTCCTCCACTTTGGCCGCTTTAGAAAATGTTTAGCTTTCTAGATTGTCGGCTCACTATTTGTTCCACATCAATAGCCGTTTGATGTGCTAAAACATCTAGATAGCAATGTGATTACGTTCAGTTTACTTACAAATAAAGCGAGGCCATATCATTCTCATCATCATCATCATCATCATCCTGATCATCACCATCATCATCATCATCACCATCATCATCCTGATGATCATCAACCTGATCATCATCATCATCCTCATCGTCATCAGGATTATCGGAACCATCCTGATCATCCTCATCATCATGATCCTCATCAGTATACTCACCATCATCCTGATCATCACCACCATCATTATCATCATCCTGATGATCATTCGAATCGTCGTAATCATCCTGATCATCAATATCATCATCATCAGCAGCAGCAGCATCAATATAACTAAATCGTAATCTAGGGATCAATGTGATTCATTTTAAACTACGCAAACGAGCGCTCAAATATTACATATCATTATCAACATCGTCGTTAAAATGAATACCATCAACATGTGCTGGTTGCATCAGGGTTCTATGGCGTCTACGGTCATGAAAACGCATCAACCAAAGGAAATCTGCTATGACGGCAAAACCACAAGACGTGTTAAATCCAGACAACATTGCGCGCTTCTAGACTTTACTTTTCAACAAATAGCGAAAATTGTACGCAATGTTTACCTGGGATTGTTTGCAATATCGTCGTAGGCGAAGGTAATTATATTTTCCGGTGGAACATTGTTTTTACGCACGACCTGATACGCGTGAAAAACGTCCGCCTGAATCAGAACACAAATAACACGTGAATTTACGACAACAGGCAGAGTGGTGCATGGAGCCTATAGGTGTTCAGAAAAGTGTGTAAGATAATCCATACCTGGTAGAGTATCAGTTCTTCAAACAGCATTCGGAAGCATTATCCCAAGAACGGGAAGCAGGATTCTATTCTGTTAGGGTTGGAGTGGAACAAAGTGCCCAGTTCAGTCAGGCGTCCGAACAACGACCTCCTCACTGAAGCTGTACAATATTGGTATCGTTTGGCTTAGAAAATACGTCCGAATCTGGCGTTCGCGTGTGTGCTATATAAATAGTCACATTGTGGCAAAACTCAGTGGCAGTAAATTATTACCCCACTGGATCTTAGGAATGGATACACACGCATTGATTTTGTGTAACATTTTCAAATACGATTCTCGTAAAACCCCATGCAAGTTGTAGACGAGCGGACGAACGAATTTGACCAACATAGATTTGTTTAGATATGTATATTACAAATACTTGATCTCACCAAGTACTATAGATTTATCCGCTCACATTGTCTAGCGTGGCCATGACAGCCAATGTTGTTGGTACGTCAGTAGTTTTTGCTGAGTTTTCTGATACCAGGTTTATACAGCAGGTCACAGTATGCTACGGGACTTCTGGGCCCGTGGGGGTTCCTCTAATATGATGAAGCTAAATCCATCCAAGCTACCACCTATCCAACGTGAATCGCAGTACCGATTAACGTAATATCTGAAATTATTAGAACCGGAGAATCGACTCCACCCAAAACATAATATCGTTTGCCGACAAGAAAACCCTTTCCTGAAGGATATAGGTGATCATTTGAGACTTAAACCCGTAAAAACCAACGGAAACCTACCTGATGTCGATAATTTTCCCAGGTGTTGGTACCAGCGACCAGGAAAACCCAGTTCTTTGACGGCTGGTTGTTAAATATGGATGACCAATTGTGGACACTGACGCCGTCCAAAAATGCAACGTGATCAATGCAGAACAGGAACGTGACAAGAATCGAACAACGACGCATGATATCCCGGCTTACTTGAAGCTCCTTGTGCCTGGCATTTTATACTGTGCGTTTCCTGTCATTTGAACTTTGCCTAACAAATGTACGAGGATGGTGTGAAAAAAATATCCACCAATTATCTAACACGTATGCGGTACAATGTGTGTGCTAATCGGGTACGGTCAACCATCTTGATCAGCTTGTTCAATGGATGATACATTGGTCAAAGTTTTTTTCAACAATCTATGCATATTGATGATTTGTGGTGTTTTCCAACACAAATGTGGATCATTTGATTAAGCGGATGTGTGCTTCAGAGAGTACTGAGCAGCTAACTGAGTCTGCAAACTGGTTTCACCTAGCGGCTGGATTATGAGTAGCTTTACTGAAAACTTTGATCCATGGGGACATTGAAACAATGTTTAATACTAAAAGGTCATAGTGGAACTGTGTATTCGGCACATTTAAGTTTTCAAGATAAGGCTTGCCAAACTGATTGGACTCAGAATGTAAACTTCTGAAAGGCTTGGTATTTACTTACTGCGTAAATCGTCGGTTTCCAGACACTTCTGGTTGACCTAAGTGAGTGACACCGAAGTCACGCAAAGCTTTTCACCGAGGAACTTACTTTCTCTATGGTTTTAGCGTACATCAAATACAAGTTCATGAAACTCATTTTATGGGCTCTTTCAATTTAATAGAAGGTTGCTCCGTAATTTCGTCACTTACCGTGACCTCATTCCTTAATTTTCCAAATTGAGGGTGCGCATGGCAAAATTTTCTTTTATAGTGTTTTGATCGGGAATTGATGGTCAACCCATATAAACTGAGATTAGTATTGATGCCCCAATAATAGTCTTTGTATTGATGAAAATACACTTTAGATTTCTAAAAGCTCACCCGAACATGAGAGACTGCTTGGTGTGTGGGCGTCTGGAAGTGAACTGAATCGATGTTTTTTCAATAACAATTTGATTTTCACGGATTCGTGCAAAACGTGAACTTTTCAACAACCAGGACAACCATCCACAGACTGTTCCGCCCCCACCCCGGTTTCTGCTGCTGGTTGTCTGCATGCTTTCAGCGGAATGGGAAATCTAGATTGATGAATGCGACAGGTCTAGAGAATAGAGACTCTTAATTTTCAGTATGACTGACCCAATTCACTGACTTGCATTCAGATGGAATAAACACTCGAGAAATCCGGTGTAACGATGACCGGATACCTGAAACTTATTCGCGAATGCCCTAAACCTACTGAGACTTTCAAACAACACGAAGATCGCATTAGGTAAAACACCGTGAAAGCCAGAAAAATCCGGTTGCCAGTAGGACGCTGAGACAGTCAACCTGTAAAGGAAAAGCATACTTTGATGCGCGTCCTACCAACGCTGGTCCGGAAGCCTGGATTCAGTTCAGTTCAAGAGTGGGCGATGCTCCTTCTTCGATGTGTTCCTTATCGGTGAGTCTTGTTTCAAAACTTGGGCGCTGTGGCGCAGTCAGTTCCTCGAAAATCAACCCCAAAGAACCACTCCAATCAAATATATACTCTCAGGAGCAGCGTTCGGTGATGTGATCACCAATATCCCCGATTTGTGGCCAAATGCACATGGGGCACTTTGACGAGAAAGCCTTAAACAGATTTGAGTGTTCATCAGGGGTTTTCTGGCTTTACGCAGATGTATTGCAACGGGATCAGTTTAGCGAATTCTTCAAATATGTGAACACTTTGGACCCTCACATTAAGTGTAGTGTGTCAATAAACTTATTTTGAGCTGCTGAGGACCAGGATTCATGAAGATTTAAGCTACATGGTCGGCATCGGTAAACATATTAACAGCAATCAAATTGTTCGGTCTTCGGAAATTTGCGGGTTGAATCTTCCTGGAGATTCGTGAAATGCTTGGTGGTATAGACAGGTTTTACTGATTGGATGCAATCTCAGTTGGGACTGCCCCCACCTCATCATACTACCAGCAATCCATATGTAGATCAAAGGTAGCCTAGGTTTATAAGATGACTGAAGCATTCCCCTGATAATTTGTCACTCGAGGAGCCTGTCAGCACTATGTGACTATGTGATTTGGTTTCTGTGAGAGAAGGATGATTGGCGCTTTATCCAGTCTGACTGAGATCTAATCGCGATACTGCTCAGCAGTTCTTTGCCAGATAGTTACGTGGTTGTTCAGTGTCCGGGTAAAGGAACAACCACTGGACCGATCTAGTGGAGGGTTTCGTCTAATGACATGTTATTTAAAACAGGTTTGAAATTATTCGCATAAAGATGCATAAAAGGCTGGATTCGAAACACAGCCAGTGATTTGAAACCTCAACCACTTAATCATCCTGAGCTCCTAAGCCAATTGCGAATTCAGGAAGCCATTTTCTACGGATGAGATTAAGTTTTTCCTGGAGAGAGACCCATATGAGCGCGAACGAAATCAGTTACCAGCCATATCTCGCAGCGTCTGCAACTTGAGTTAGCTTCAAAGGAGACTTGTGAAAGTCTGCCATCATTTGAGAGGCTTTAGGGCTACGAATAAACACAACTTCTCTATGTTCCAACCAAAGTCTCTTGACTACGGGTCGGCATTGGTTCCTGCTCAGCCAGATATCGGGGGTGCCTTTGTCTCTGGACGTGGATTTATCGTTCTGCAAATTTGCTAAGCACTTGTGTCTGTTGCCTAGTTAGCGAAACTTCAACTGAATTATCGTAAACTACTTACAC